TAGATTCTGGGGCGTGCCAGTCCTTTGTCAATCAGGACGTAATCACGCAGCACCGCATCTCAACGCACCAGCTAGAGAGCCCAATGAAACTCTCGAACGCTGACGGATCCTGCTTCGGAACGAAGCCGATAGAGAGGTTTTGCAACCTCACATTCCAGATAGACGAAAGGGTAATGACCGAAAGGTTTTACCTAGCCGAACTTGGTCCGAAAGACAAGTTCCTGCTTGGACGACCTTGGCTTACCAGCCAGAACCCCCTGATCAATTGGAAAACCGGCGCGGTAACTCTTAGAAGTACCGCAGATTCCCGAAAGAAGCAAACAGAGATAGATACTGATCGGAAGAAGAACGGCAAGGCGCCCCTCTTCCAGAAAGAAGAAAAGAAGGTGGCAAAGAAGAGAAAACGATCGGAATCCCCGACAACTCCCCGCGCCTTCTCCTCGGGCACAGTACCACTAGCCCGAACGACACGAATTGCACCGGCCCACGAAGAACCGCAGAACGGAATCCCCGTTGAACCTTCAGAAACCGCACCACAGCCCGCGAAAACTGTGACGAAGAAAGATTCGCTGCCAAGAATCGACCTTGCAGCAAAAAGACATGAACAGAAGAGACCGGCCACTGATCCGGAGACAACTCAGAAGAAAACTTCCAGACCGGCGCTGATATCTGACCACATTTATCCCGAACCGCCAAGACAGAAGACGATCGTACCGGCTGTTCAGCCGATGAAGATTGATGAAGATCCCGTACCTGCCCGATATGAATTCTCGGCAGAGCCCGCACAAGTCCTTGGGAAGGGACGTGCGATAATGAATGAAGAACCGCCTGTATCCAAGGCACCCAGACTGGCCCCTGAACCAGAAAAAACTCAGAGATTCGAATTCTCCGGAGAACCGATATCCGTTCTCGGAAAAGGACGCGCAGTCCGAATCGAAGACCCTCCCACCGCCAAGAAACTCAGATTCTATGAAAGTCCTGAGTCCGCAATGGAGGAAGACACCGAACCGGCGTATTTAACCGCCGATGAACCGCCGAACTCCCTCAACCTCTCCATGACACCCGCGCACAACCCCGAAGAAGCAATGACGCTATCTTCAGACATCGAACTTCCCCCTGTGTTACAAGAAGCACAGGATATTTTTATCAACCGAATCGCTTCGACCCATGAAGCATATCGCCAGAATGAAATAAAGAAGGAAGAACTAGACGCCGGGCCGAGTTTTATCCGATTTATCGACATGGATAACTCCGAGGATGACGAGGATGAAGACGAAAACGTACCCTCTTCGCATGATCTGCGAATGGTAGATATGGAAGGAAACGACTTCGAAGACGACGGCCCGCTCCCTGGCCTAGACTTCTGATTGGATATGATTAGTCGGTGACTAATGGCTTAGTAAGGGGGTGAAATCCTCCATTTTACTTATTTTCCACGCCTACTCCACCCTGAACACTGATCACCGATCCCGAACTCGACCGACCTCGATGGTCCGGAACGACCCTAAACTACGATGGTCCGGAACGACCCTAAACTACGATGGTCCGGAACGACCCTAAACTACGATGGTCCGGAACGACCTAAAACTAGATAAGGTCCGGAATGACCCTAAACTACGATCGTCCGTAATGACATAAAACTAGACGATGAACAAGGACGAACCCCGGAAAACTCCTGCAAGCTTCGGGACCCCTCACATCACTGCACTTCGACCACCTGAGTAGACCATATGTAAACAAAGGGTAATAGAAGATGATCCCCCTGCTGGACGACCCCAAGAAACTCCTGCAAGCCTTGGCACCCACGCTCGGACCCCCACCTCCGGAACGAGGCTAAACTATCACGAGACGAACTCCACGGAAACTCCTGCAAGCCCATGGAATCCTCTAGAACCCATCATGGCAATGACGACCACCCTCTGATGATGACCTGATCTTTCAACAAAGATAAAGGATGATAGTACCTATCACGGCACCCTCCCTCTGATAGCGAAGAAGAATCTCGAACACGAGTTAGCCTCATGGCTAGATAAGACGATAAGAGATAACGATAAAGATAAGTTTAGAATGAATCGGAGCTTGGATTGATCTGGAAGAAGGTTATAAACCCTCTCGATCCTCGAACATCTCTCCCAACGAACCTCCATCATCATCATGACAAACTCCATCGATAACGACTCTATCAAGACTACACTGAAGGACTCCGACTATGGAGTAGTCCTCAGAATGACGGAAAACAGCGCGTTCAATGAAGCTGCTATCCTGACCCCCGCGTACTCCCAAGCGATCGACGAAATCCTTGGTGATCAAGACGCCAGAACTGCAGCGTGTACCTCCCTCACCGTCTGCATTATACGAACCACGAAGCTGCTGGAAGATGTAGCCAATCGTGTTGACCTTGATGAAGCAACTCGGAAACTTGCTATACTTCATCTGCAACGGCGGATCAGAAACTTCGCACTTCACTTACTCCCCCTCGACTTCTCCGATATCACCGACCTAGCGATAAAGAAAGTTGAAGTGAAGCCCGTTATAGAAGAACCCCGCCCGGTACGCCCGCTGAGAAGAAAGGCGGCTACCATAGATCGAACCCGTAGAACGCTCTGCAAGCGCTGCGGAGGATACGGACATCAGTTCAGAAGATGTCCAGATTATGTTTGTTGCATCTGCGATGAACTAGGACCTGACCATCTGTCGGTCCACTGCCCGCGACTCAACGGACGCATTGTACTCCAAGAGTTTAGCGATGAAGAGAAGTTTTTCGAAGCTCTCTTAGATTGGGAGCATAACCATAAGGCACTCGCGGATCTAGAACTTCAGCATCCCACTGAACTTTCCCTTGTCCCTGAAACTCCCTCAGTACCTTCCACCTCCTCACCAGTAACTCCCGCACCACTTGTTGCTACGATGGAAGAAGACGTTTAAGATGTACAAAGCCGGTGACTTTGTGCGTAGTAATGGGGTAATGTTACAGTCACTACGTGAGCCCCCAGCTACACGACCAGCCCTCTGCCACCTCGCACGGCAACGATACGATAACCGGGCCTTTAGGCCTTGATGATAGATGATGAATAGAAGAGAAGTCCGGAAGATGCCGGATTAGGTAAGCGATCTGGATCGCTTACACGATATGACGACATAGGTCTAGAAGACCTATTTATGTTATCAAGATAGAAGGCAAGACTTGTGTTGCCTCATGTACTGATAGAAGGACGCCTCGCGGTCCTTATCCTAGATAGAAGCCTGCCTCATGCATGGTATCTCTGACTCGATAGATAAGCACTTAGAACCCAGCTTCAAGCTGAGCTTAGATACGATAGAGTAGCCTTATATAAGGTCGACGATTAAAGTAGATGTTCCTTACTTTAATCCTACTGGGTTTACCATCGAAACCTTTGTCTTGCTAAAGCTACCTGCTCGACATCAGACCCGTACCTTCAGGAGGACTTGAGACCCCTTCTGCCTGTAACTCGCTATCATCGTTCACCTCCGTGAACGTACGCAACTCCTGCTCTTCTGTAGGAGCCGACCTCGGACTCTCAGCACAAGGTATCACTGTCGTGATCGTCGCTGTTAGATCATCCCAGTCCGCACGCGACACACGTCGTAACAGTGAGAATGTGCGCATCTAAGACATTACGATAGTCCATCATGTCGTTTGGATCGTGAACTCGAATAACGTTGTGCACGAGACACAAGGCAGGAGGAATGCGCGCTTGAATGTCCATTTTGTACTCTGGTGGGAGGAGAAGGATACGAAATCGGCACTTGATGACACCAAAAATGCGCTCAACAGCATTTCGAAGCATTGCATGACGCAAATTGAAAAGTTCTTTGCGATTACGAGGCCTATGTAACAATGTGAACATAAGTATGAATGGTACTAGCAGAATGCATCATACAAAGTATTAGCACGACCCCACTCTGCAAGATGATAATGCACGCCCCGAAACGGGACCAGAAGCTCATCACACGAGCCAAAACCAGCGTCCGCAAGATAATACTTTCCCTCAGGGATATTGAAATCGGTAGTACGAGCATCGTGATAGACACGAGCATCTGCAGCTGACCCCTCCCAACCGCTCAACATGTAGGTAAATGAAAGGTTGAATGAACATGCCGCGAGGCAGTTTTGAGAGAAGTTCCCCTTGCGATCCCGAGCGGCATGCCGATCTTCACCAAAAGGATGGCATGCGATGTGTGTACCGTCAATGGCTCCAATAGCGTCAACAAAGAACGGGAAGAACTTCGGGTTTTTCGTGATTTCGGGGGGAGGAGGGCTATCTACATCGGGCAGGCGGACATATGTCGTATATATCGGTGGCGAGGAGAATGCGAAAAGAACCCGTTTAAAATACCTGAAAGAACATAAGCTTGATACCAGGACAGCAACAATATACGTACTTTGATATTGTCTCGTTGGACCGCTGGAAGCGTTCACCAAGATGGCGAATCGAGAGACCCGTGACAGACGCATAGAGAAATATAGCAAGCTGCTCTTCGAGCAGTACATGCCTGGAATCTCTGCAACCTGCTTGCCGAAGGAGATTGATGAGCACATAGAAAACATGCTTGTGGACCCCAAGCTCGCATCTGATGCGTTCAGGGTGTCCAGTGAGAAGTTCGGTGACCCATGCAGTCCCCGACAAAGTGGAGGTATGATACGGTTCTTTGTCGTAGTAGGTGTTTGAGTAAGCTTCGAGCGCGGTAGTTGTTGCGTTGAGGACTGTAATGACCGTGCGCATAGCATGCATGGCCATCTGCATGATGCATGCCAGATATCTCTTATCACTCTCCTCTGCATCTTGGTCCATCTCCTCTGCCTCCACAAGGTCGTATTCGTCCTCGTTAGCGTCCTCGTCATAATCAGGATCAAGAGGCATTGTATTGATAGTAGGACAAGGCATACGGTAAGCGTTATCGGAGCGTGACATCTTGTTCAAGCTCCGACGATTAGCAAAGCCAGAACCAAATTCTAACTTGCACAAATAACGCAAATAATGGTGGCCGAACAGACTCTAAGGCAGCTGGAGGTGCGAGCGCCACCAAACGGAGATTCCAGACGACGTGTCAACGTCGGCTATCTTTTTTCATTCCTTTAGTATATGTTTTCATCAAAAGGCCAGCTGGCGCACTCACCATATAAAAGCAGCCATCCACCATCGAAACATCTCAGATTCGTAATCCGAATACTGAGATGTAAGTCTTCTAATGTAACGTTTGAGTACAAGTACTAACATATACCGTAGCTTACCTGTCTAGGTAAAAACACTTGTCAATAAAGAGATTCGTAATCCGAATACTGAGATCTTACCTGTCTAGCCTCGCCCTGCTATACTCTCAATACTGAACGCAAGTTGAAAGAAGGCATTCGACCTGTGGCGACTCCCTCTCCTGAAGAAGTTAGCGCCGCCAAGCGGAAAGTTCAATATCGCGAGGACCTTTTTCACTTTGCAGTAGCCGGGGTGGCAGGAGCAGGGAAATCATCTCTCATCAATGCCTTTTGCGGTTTACGCAATAAGGACCTCAGATCTGCTGCCACTGGTGTCACCGAGACAACGCTAGCCATGGCTAGAATCCCTCACCCCGACGCGGAATACCCCCTTGTCTGGTACGATATCCCAGGTGCAGGCACGCTCAAAATCTCAGATTGGCAGCACTTCAATGCCCAAGGACTCTACGTCTTCAACTGCATCATCATCCTGTTCGACAATCGCTTCACTATGACCGACATTGCCATCCTCACCAACTGCAGGCGTTTCCGGATCCCCACGTATATCGTGCGCTCTAAGGCAGATCAACACATTTCTAATATCATGGACGATATGGCGAACGATAGCGATGACGATGACGGTGATGAGAGCGAGGATAAGAAGAAGAAGCTTTACCAGGCTGCACGGCAGCAGTTCATTCAGCAGACGCGTAAGAGCGTGAAAGACAACCTTGAGGATGCGAACATTCCGGACCAAAAGGTTTACATCGTTTCAAATAAAACGATGATCGGTGTCGTGAAGAGCAAGCAGGCAGTGAAGGTCATCGACGAGATCGAGTTGTTGAACGATTTGATTCAAGAAACCCAGACTAGGCGAGCACGTCGTGATGCCGAAGTGGACATTATTATGAATGAGAAGTGGTGGCTGATGATAGAGATCTTCAAGTCATTATATTGCTTCCTTCGGGCTCTTACCAATGCTGATGTTGATCCGTTCTCGCCATGACCATACCGCTTGTGACCGATCTTGACCGCAGATTTGCACATACAGTACCTTCTTCCCATGTTTCTTCCTCTGTGCTGATATTATTACTCCTCCGCGTGTTCTTACTACCGCTTACTAATGGCTACTATAGGTTCGATGGTCAGAGATTTGCCAGTAACCCGGTGAGGGAGCTCAAGACTCGGGAGATCCGGTAATGTGATTGTATGCCGGCGTTGTTCCAGGATCCGACGAAGCCCTTCCTCATTCAAGTCCATTCGTCTAATCAAACCTCCTTCAGATGGTAACTCCATACGCCCTAACAACGAGGAGGATTGGGGGCTTAAGGTGTGTGGTCCAAATGATCGAGTATAATGGTTCTACTTTAACATTCAGGTGAACTTAGGCACTGGGGGACTATTATCGTCTCGGTCGACTGTGTAATGTGTTAGATGATACCTAGCCTGAGCAGTGTTCTAACTATAGTACACCTTCCTGCAGCACGGCCTCCTATCAGGATCATCAACGATTCATCGTGGCCATTCAGAATACGCTATATCTTCTCTGCGACAGTCGCAAACTTCATCGATATTTGGCTATCCTTCACGGAGCACCCATCAGGTGACAGTGCTCTCTTTGGTGCCTGGCAGCATTCTGTTCACGCATCAAGTCCTTTTTAATGTCTTTTTGTTCTTCACTACTATAGTACTCCTATTATGTCTACTGCGGCCCCGCCCGGTACTGCATATAAGTATGCTACTACAATATCTTGCAGAGATCTGATAGGTAGACTACAGACAGGGCAGTATCTATCTGGTAGTGAATCTGACGGACCGTCACGGACGGACGTTGTACTGACAACCCAACGTCGCGGTCAATAGCTGATACATATCACACACACCACATACCATGTTAACGTGTTTAATTTCCATGTACATTTTGGTCATATACAATCATTCAATACACGATCTCGTAACTCATTCCCTACGTTCATGCACAGAACGTCCTCCGTTCATCTAATTCCGTTCTATGACTTCATTGCCTTCAGGTCACACTTCACGCGAACCCATAGCCCTGGGTTAGCCGCATTCCGTCGTTCTCTTGGTCTGCACGCGGGACAATATAAAATGCCTCAAATTGTATTCTATGGTCTAAGATCTGTTATTCGTTCTCGATTGAAATCCACAAAACTTACTCTAAGCACTACTATTAGCTGATTTTCTTTTCAAAACATACGCATATCAGTAAGTTTTCTCGGCTCAAGAGATGGGAGCATCATGCGACCTCGTTATTAGCAGGGCCACGCATTACCATTGTCGAACAGATGGGATCTTATGCAAGTCGACCAGAAGAGCCCAATCTATCCCTCGAGGAGATGGAAGTGCGCCAGGACGCAGAGGCAGCTGCTGCGTATTCCCAGAAGGATGCTGAGGCTGCCAGAGAGGAAATCGCCGAGCTCAACAGGTTGAATCAAAAATTACAGGAAGAGGCCGAGGCAGCTTTTCAAGCTGCAGCGGCCACAAAGGATCAGGTCCGAAAGGAAATAGAAGCAATGGCCAAAGCCGAACGTGCTGCCAATGAAGCTCGCTTACGGGCGGAAGCTGCTGCTCGTACTGCCAGTGAAGAAACAAAACAGAGAGCAGTTGAAGCAGAGGAGGAGCTTAAGCGAACAGCCGCTGTCCAAGAACAAGCCAAACGAGATGTCCAGGCTGCCCAGGAGCAGGCAAAGAGACTGCAGGAGGCTGTTGATGAGGAGAGGAGGAGGGCAGCTGCCGTCCAGGAGGCGGCCAATGTGTCTAATAAAGTGGCAGAAGAGCAAGTAAAGGCGGCCAATGCTGCCAAGGAGGAGGCTGAACGCAAGTTGAAAGAAAGCATTGAGGCTCTGGTGACTCCCACGCCTGAAGAACAAGCCAGACGAGACGCCCAGGCTGCCCAGGAGCAGGCCAGGAAGGCACTGCAGGAGTCGTGCCACCATCAGTAGACTGAGGAAATCCCGAGAAACCGCATCAGTATAATTCTGTTGAGCGAAGAGTCAAATCAATGTGCACATGTTTAAATTTGTCTGACTGCAAAATTACAAAAGTTGAACGTGAACTTGTGCCTCAGAAACGTCCTTCGAAGATCACCTCCAAGCGGAGTTTAAACTTTGCTCGATGGCCAGCCTGGCTGCCTGAGGCCGCCAATCAATCCCACCAATGCGCCCCCCACCGTCTAACATCTCACTAGGTTTATGGTCCGCCTCAACTCTTCCCGCCACTCTCCTTGCCCACACATCTCTTTGCCCGCCCCTCTCCTTACCCGCTTATGGATGTGAGGCTAGATGATGTCCCTTGAGGAGGATGGCACATCGCAAGAACCCGGCCAGATCGATATATTACATAGCAACGAGCTCACTATGTTACTGCATGGTCACAAGAAGACTCTCAACGTCCATGGAAGTAAGTCCTTGGTGCCGATGCAGACAGTGAGCAAGTGCGAGAAACAATGACGGACACAGGAATATCTATACTCTGGTTGGAGATGCCGATGGGCCTACCGATGTTCTGGACTCTGTCCCAGACCGGCCATTTCAGAGATGTCCTCAGTAAGCATTATCGTTCGTATTCATGGAGCACTTCAGCATACCAGCACGTGGCCACGCACACTAAGTCTCCCTAGATTTAAAAGTTCGCATACTTGTCTTGCACCGATACGCACATTCCGTCGTAAGCATCTGTTATTTACTTAATGTCAAGAAACTTGTTTACAAAGCTATCCGGCTGATTTGGATTGCCAGTATTGCATCTCAAAATGCAAATCATGGGCATCGTGGCAGTCATCGCAACCTCATTATCGATGACGTTACCTTTCTTACTGCCATCCTTCGCCGAAATCCCACTGTGTACTGGACGAGCTACAGCGGGAATTACGTGCACACCGTGTTGCGTATCCACACATACACTTCCCGGCACCTACTTCCAAGATAGCTTCGGGCCCGGAAACGCTGATATTCGGTGATGAAGCTGCGAAAGATGAAAGGACATAGGTTCGTCCATCGGAGCCGATGTTCGGAAATTGATCCCAAACCTCGTCGCTCACATTCCTAACCCTTAACTCTTTCCATAGAATACCACATATGTGCGTGAATATAATATAATTGTCTCTCACTTAAAAATTCAATCACTTGATTACAAGGGTTGGGTCTGCTGACTCGGAGGGTTAGGAATGACGAGGTTCAAGACTGCTTGTAGATAATTTATTGTTCTTCATTCAAGTCCATTTCGTCTGAGCCTCAAGCTTCCTTCTTCTGGTAACTCCAAACGCCAGCAACGAAGATGATTGCAGGCTTGTGTGGCCCAGACGATTGAACGTTGAACCCTGTCTTAATTGTGAGGTACACATACATTCGTCGTTCATCTGATCATGACCAGATCTGGTAATTCATTCCCAACTTTCATGCGCAGAACGTCTTCCATTCGATTCCACAACTTCGTTTCCTCCAGGTCACGCTTTATGCCATCCTCCGGATGGAGAACAACCCATAGCCCTGGGTAATCTATGATCAGCGCTTGGCCGCATTCAGTCGTTCTCTTGGTCTGCATGTGGGACAATATGAAGGCAGACATTATATTCTATAGTCTAAGATCGGCTCTTCGTTCCTACAGGACTTACTCTGAACAACGCTGTCAGTCGATTTTTCTTTTCAAAGCATACGCACACCAGTAAGTTTTCTCAGCTCGAGAGATGAGAGCATCATGCGACGTGACTATTAACAGGGCCACGCATTACCATTGTCGAGCAAACCCAGAGATGTGTTTTACGGAGCCAGACGAGCCCAATCCAGCCTTCGAGGAGATAGAAATGCGCCAAAAGGCAGAGGCTGAGGCAGAGCAAGCCCGACAGGATGCTAAGGCTGCCGAAGAACGAATCGCTGAGCTCAACAGGTTGAATAAAAAAATACAGGAAGAGGCTAAGGCGGCTGAGCAAGCCGCTAAGGAAGCCGCGGCAGCCTCAGAGGCTCAGGCCCATAGGGAAAGGGAGGCGATGGCCGAGGCCAAACGTGCTGCCGACGAAGCTCGCTCACAGGCGGAAGCTGCTGCTCGTACTACCAGTGAGGAAGCAAAAAAGCAAGCGGCGCAAGCAGAGGAGGAGCGTAAGCGAACTGCCGCTGTACAAGAGCAAGCCAGACGAGACGCCCAGGCTGCCCAGGAGCGGGCCAAGAGACTACAGGAGGCTGCTGATGAGGAGAAGAGGAAAGCGGCTGCCGCCCAGGAGGCGGCCAACGTGTCGAAGAAAGCGGCAGAGGAGCAAGTGAAGGTAGCCAATGCTGCCAGAGAGGAGGCTGAACGCAAGTTGAAAGAGGGCATTCAACCTGTGGTGACTCCCACACCTGAAGAAGTTAGCGCCGCCAAGCAGAGAGTACAATATCGCGAGGACCTGTTCCACATCGCAATAGCCGGGATAGCAGGAGGAGGGAAATCATCTCTCATTAATGCCTTCCGCGGTTTGCGTAATAAGGACATCGGAGCTGCTGCCACTGGCGTCACCGAGACAACGCTAGTCATGGATAGATACCCTCACCCTAATGCGGAATACCCTCTTGTCTTGTACGATTTCCCGGGCGCTGGCACGCTCAAAATCCCAGATTGGCAGTACTTCAACGACCAAGGACTTTACGTCTTTGACAGCATCATCGTCCTGTTCGACAATCGCTTCACCATGACCGACATCGCCATCCTCACCAACTGCAGACGTTTCAAGATCCCAACGTATATCGTGCGCTCTAAAGCGGATCAGCACATCCGCAACATTATGGAAGATATGGGGTATGACAGCGACGATGATAGCAGCAAGGTCAAGAAGCTCCACCAGGCTGCACGACAGCAGTTCATTCAGCAGACGCGCCAGAGCGTGAAAGACAACCTACAGAATGCCAATATACCTGACCAACGGGTTTACATCGTTTCGAATAAAACGATGCTCGATGTCGCGTCGAATACAACGATATTCGATGTTCTGGCAAGAAAGCAGCCGAAGACCATCGATGAGATTGAGTTGTTGAGCGACATGATCCGAGAAGCCCAAATCAGGCGAGGACACCGTGACTGAGGCGCGACTATCACGAATGAGTAGTCGGTGGTGATATAGTTCTTCCTTCGGACTCTTACTGATACTTCTCGTTCTTGACATGATCATACCGTTCGCGACCGAGCTTGATTCCAGACGTGCAGATTTGGTTCTTTCTATGTTTCTTCCTCTGTGCTGATGTTGTTACTTCTCCTCGTGTTCTTACTGCTTGCGAGCGACTGATTTCCATCCGACTGAATACAAAGGATTTGCAATTGAGATTTCTAGTAGAAACCTAGATCTACAGGACGAAAGGTATCGCATTCTGATGCGACGCGATCCAGTGTCTCCGACATGCGTGGGATGAATCTGTGAACGTGACCTCGTAAGCGTATTAGTGATGGCGTCGAGCGTCCATTCTGGGTTTGTACCACGAGGGTGCCTTTTGGCAGGCTCAAGGGTGGTATCCAGGCTGTCACCTTCCTGAAGCTCATCATGGGGATCCTTGCGGAAACAATAAAGTTGCACGGTAAATGGAACATTGGGAGAACTAGGATTTCTCGTAAGGAAAGGCTGAGTTAGAACTGCGAAGTCTTGCGTACCTGCTCGACGGAGCTGAGGGAATAATGCGATCTCCAACCGCGAAATCAATGGTAAGTATACCTGGTCGAGTAAGACCCTGGCGCCCGAACCAGGTTTTGGGTATAGAGAGGTTGGAATTTTCAGTGACGACGAAGGATAGGAGTCGACAGAAGAGCATGTTGCTATATTCTGAGGATCTGCGGGAGACGGTCCTGAGTGATGTGCTAAAGATATCGCCATCACGACGTCTTCTACAGGAAGTGACAATGATGAGCCATCTGATGTGGAACAGAGGCAGGTGCGGATGCTTGAACATTTGCCGAGTTTGGGTCGTGCGATGATAGAGCTTCGTCATGCTCCATGATTTGTTTGACTAGAAGTGTGACGTCCTTGACAGAGCAATATTGTCTAGAATCCTGAACGGGTGAGAAGGCCTTGTGGTCAATTGGCAAATCTACCAAAATGTAGCTTCGCTATCCTTCCGTGACCCGATAGATAACGTGTCTGAATCTAGCCAAACACGCGTAGTCCGAGTGGATTCGCCGTGTTTCTCCATGCAGCGTTTTAAGTCCTCCTTGTTGATGTGTGAATCAACAGCGCCAACTCGGGGGTTCTTCGGTGGGTGCAAGGCAAGGGCATTGATTTGAAGTTTCATATATCTAGATTACTGTAGAAACTCGCAGCAATGATCATCGGTGAGCATGGCTGCACACGCTGTGATGTCGATAGTTGTCGAAGAGTCTTGAGATTTGGCAGACATAAGAAGAACAGGCGCTAGCAGTTGCCTGCACCTCTCTACAGCAGGTGCAGATCCACCAAATATTGTGTGTAGTTGTTGACTCCGGCGCGGTAGGGGTTTGTGCAGCATGTCAAAACGGGCGTTGCTATTTTGAAGCGGCCGTGACGTGGCGTGACGCGCATGTGACGCGGCACTAACGAGTCTTGACGCGGCCACTGACGCGCCTTTCCTATATGTTCTACATTCGACTTCCATATCAAGTTCACGACCGTTCCTTTGTTATTTTATCTGCCATAGAGACATGTACAACTAGGTACATAAGCCAATGACTATTTTCTTTTCCTCCCTCTCTGGACCCTTCGAGCCTATGGAGCACATCGACGTTTAACGGGCGGACATTCTTCAGCCGGCGGAGAAGGAGCTACAGTTTCGGATAACTTGTCTGCAGACTCCAAAGATGTAGCATCGGAGTTATCACTGAATAAGGGGCCGTGCTGTCAATCCCATAAGTTAGATATCTATCGAACGGAGCAGGTAATGTCTTCGTCACTTCAAGTTCACTCTCACTATAATCTCTTCCAGAAACCCATTCACCAGGAATTCCGAGATGCACATTCCATCGCCTGTGATGTTGCCCAGCATCCAAACCCTACTGCTAGTTGCATGCAGGTCCTGCTTCTTCGGAATCCTCGAACATCCTTGCTTCTAGTGCGGTCAGACACTCGAGGTCGACGTCAGCCACGGAGCTGTTGGTAGGATAGATTATCATGAGATCAGCACAAGCCATCTTTAACAGCATGATATCATTCCATTCTCTTTCGAGCTTTGAGGCGTTTTTCGAAATCACTGGCCTTTCGATGAGCGACAACGAGAGTGAAAGCATGCACCAAAGGCATGCCACCAAGTCATTTTTCGACTTAACCGGAAGCACCAGGAACATTCTCCGAGAACCAACGTGCAATTTTGGCATACTCATGAGATGAGATGTCACCACAAAACGGTGAGGATTCAAAGTGTTTGGAATAACCTATGAAGCTGTTTGAACATGATCTGTACCCTAGGATTTGTTACAGTGCCGCGTCACAGGCGCGGCAGGACCGTGTCAATTTCACCTGGCCCTGTCAAAACCTGTGGTCAACAGGCTAATCACCCCAGCTCCGAATGCAGATACGGTAACAATCTACCGCTCGACTTTTTCGCTAGGAGAGTCTGGGACGAAAAGTTGAGGGTAATCCTTGTTGGTCGCAGACTAAGTTCAATTGGTTGGCACATGTAACGCAAGTATCGTGACCAATTTTTTTAATTTGCCAGTAACCGAAGGTTGAGATCCGGTAATGTGATTGAGACCCGTGTTCCAGGGCCCATTCAATTCCTGCTTGAATTCAGATGTGTAACTCCACACGCCCTAACAACGAGGAGGATTGCGGGCTTAAGGTGTGTGATCTAGACGATCGAGTATAATGGTCGTACTTTAACACCTTCCTCTTGATGAAGGCACCTGGGGGCATGATTGTCGTCTCGGTCGATTGCGATTTCCTGCTGATGATGATCTACGCTGAGCGCTCGCAGAATTTATGTTTTGGGACGACGGAGCTTGAAGCTGAAATGTGTTAGATGAAACCTAGCCTCAGCGGCGGTGTTCTAGCCATAGTACATCCTCCTGCAGCGCCTCCTATCAGGATCATCGACGATTCATTGTGGCCATCTAGGGTGCACTATATCTCCTCTGCGACAGTCGGAAACCTGATTGATATCTACTCGCTCTCGGCAGTATCTCGCCCACTTATCAAAATGTCATACGTTAAAAATTGCCACATATCGTGTGACCTTATGTCTTAATCGTAAGGTACACATACATTCGTCGTTCAATTTGATCAGATCTGGTAACTCACTCTCAACTTCCATGCACAGAACTTCTTCCATTCCATTCCACGACTTCATTGCCTCCAAGTCACACTTCGTGCAATCCTCCAAATGTGGGACAACCCAAAGCCCTGGGTAACTTATGCTCAGCGCTTGGCCGCATTCAGTCGTCTACATGCGGGGCAATATAAAACGCCTCAAGGCAGACATGATATTCTATAGTTTAAGACTCGGATCGGCTCTTCGTCCCTACAGGACTTACTCTGAACAGCGCTGTTAGCCAATTTTTCATTCCAAAGCATACGCATACTAGTAAGTTTTGCTAGTTCAAGGGATGAAAACATCATTCAACGTCACCATTAACAGGGTCACACATTTCTATAATTGAGCAAACTCAAAGATGGGATGTTCCAAGCGGCCAAAAGGGCCCAATCCAGCAGACGAGGAGATAAAAAAGCGCCGGGATGCAGAGGCAGCTGCTGAGCAAGCACGAAAGGATGTTAAGGCTGCCGAAGAACGAATCGCTGAGCTCAACAGGCAGAATAAAAAAACACAGGAAGAGGCTAAGGTGGCTCGCCAGGCCGCTGAGAAAGCTGCGGCAGCCTCACTCGCTCAGGCCCGTAAGGAAAAGGAGGCGATGGCCGAGGCCAAACGTGCTGCCGACGAAGCTCGCTTACGGGCAGAAGCTGCTGCTCGTACCGCCAGCGAGGAAGCAAAGAAGAAAGCAGTGGAAGCAGAGGAGGAGCGTAAGCGAACTGCCGCTGTACAAGAGCAAGCCAGACGAGACGCCCAGGCTGCCCAGGAGCGAGCCAAGAAACTACAGGAGGCTGCCGATGAGGAGAAGAAGAAGGCGGCTGCCGCCCAGGAGGCGGCCAACGTGTCGAAGAAAGCGGCAGAGGAGCAAGTGAAGGTAGCCAATGTTGCCAGAGAGGAGGCTGAACGCAAGTTGAAAGAGGGCATTCAACCTGTGGTGACTCCCACACCTGAAGAAGTTAGCGCCGCCAAGCGGAGAGTGCAATATCGCGAGGACCTGTTCCACATCGCAATAGCCGGGATAGCAGGAGGAGGGAAATCATCTCTCATTAATGCCTTCCGCGGTTTGCGTAATAAGGACATCGGAGCTGCTGCCACTGGCGTCACCGAGACAACGCTAGTCATGGCTAGATACCCTCACCCTAATGCGGAATATCCTCTTGTCTTGTACGATTTCCCGGGCGCTGGCACGCTCAAAATCCCAGACTGGCAGTACTTCAACGACCAAGGACTTTACGTCTTTGACAGCATCATCGTCCTGTTCGACAATCGCTTCACCATGACCGACATCGCCATCCTCACCAACTGCAGACGTTTCAAGATCCCAACGTATATCGTACGCTCTAAAGCGGATCAGCACATCCGCAACATTATGGAAGATATGGGGTATGACAGCGACGATGATAGCAGCAAGGTCAAGAAGCTCCACCAGGCTGCACGACAGCAGTTCATTCAGCAGACGCGCCAGAGCGTGAAAGACAACCTACAGAATGCCAATATACCTGACCAACGGGTTTACATCGTTTCGAATAAAACGATGCTCGATGTCGCGTCGAATACAACGATATTCGATGTTCTGGCAAGAAAGCAGCCGAAGACCATCGATGAGATTGAGTTGTTGAGCGACATGATCCGAGAAGCCCAAATCAGGCGAGGACACCGTGACTGAGGCGCGACTATCACGAATGAGTAGTCGGTGGTGATATAGTTCTTCCTTCGGACTCTTACTGATACTTCTCGTTCTTGACATGATCATACCGTTCGCGACCGAGCTTGATTCCAGACGTGCAGATTTGGTTCTTTCTATGTTTCTTCCTCTGTGCTGATGTTGTTACTTCTCCTCATGTTCTTACTGCTTGCGAGCGACTGATTTCCATCCGACTGAATACAAAGGATTTGCAATTGAGATTTCTAGTAGAAACCTAGATCTACAGGACGAAAGGTATCGCATTCTGATGCGACGCGATCCAGTGTCTCCGACATGCGTGGGATGAATCTGACCTCGTGCAGATCAAGGGAATCAGTGCGAGTGTCCATTGATCGATCTGGGATAGGGGTTGGCTGGAAATGCCCCTCTTCGTTGTGACCTGGCGTGAATCCACAGCACTCATTCTGAATCAACACCATCAGATTTAATTTTCGAATCACACCATATACATTTCAGTAAGCTTCTTCAGCTCGAGAGATAGAAGCCATCGTACGACATGACAATTAACAGGATTCTTTATCAATCAAGAATGGGAGCGACTCCATCCCTCATCGAAAGAGAAGCACGTCTACACGCAGAAGCCGTGGCTGAGCAGGCTCGGAAGGATGTAGAACTTGCGCAGGCTGCGTTAATAAAGATCATCCAGGCCAATCAAAAATCACAGCAAAAGGCTGCGGAGGCCCAGCTCGCCGCACAGGCACAGGTATACAAGGAGATGGTAGCGACGTTGCAGGCTGAGCGGGCTTCTAGGGAAGCCGTGCAGGTACAAACTCACAAGGAAATGATAGCGGTGGTCCAGGCGGAATGTGCTGCTATTCAAAAACGAGCGAACATGGACATTCAGTCTGCTCAGGAGCAGGTCGAGAAATCACAAGAGAGGGATGCAACTGCTGACCA